TTCCCCGTCTGTAATGTAATGCTACCTAGGTATTGAAATATATGCATATCCTGTACCTAATGCAATCCTGTCAAAATAACCCTTTATAATGTACCAATATAGGGTTTCTTAGGAAAATTAATTAATAAGTTTATTGATATTAATATATAAGAATTGCGTAAACTGTATCTTAATATATAATGTAATATGAAATGTAAGATAAAGGTGGACGTGGTGCTGTACTGATTAACCCAAATGGTAAAGGAACAGTGCCCACGTCCTCCGTCGCTTATCACTTATCACAAACTAATCCAGATTTTGTCATGGAATCAAATGATAAGCATGAAAACGAAGCATACAGAATCAAGTTCAGAACATCGACGGACATCGTGCATTCAGAGGTGGCAGCACGATGGTGTGGGCTGGAATATCAGTGCGATATTTCACCTAGCTGCACATTTTTAAAGATGGTTCTGTGATGGTTGCGAGGAATAGGGAAGAAGTCCTACACTATTTTGAGACTCCACCATGCCGCAGTTGGTTCTGATTTCATCCATACGGATGTTAATGCTCCTCTCCATCGAGCGAACATTGACATGAGGAGTAAGAGATTTCTCGTATGGTGTGACCGCCGTATTCTTCCGACTTTTATTCCATTGAAAATCTTTGGATGCCTTTTGCACATTTACCTCCGACAGCCAGCCTCAGATAGTTGGAAACTGCCCTAATTCCTTACAGCCACTGATAGTAGGCTGAAAGATTAGCCACTGCTAGCATCGGCGATGGATGCTCATTTCATTGAAAGCACGGGCGATAGCTGAAAAGTTTATGTGAAAGCCCGGAGTGGTCAAATGATTAATTAATGTAAATTTTGTTTCTTTCTTTTTAACTTGTAACGTCAATTTGTTAATGACCCAAATGTCATCATACAATTTACGAAATTTTAAGTGCTTTTTCATCTTTTTTCATAATGCTTGTTTTTTCTCATGCATAAAGACATTTGCTTCTTTCACGCACAATTTGCTATTAATTTGCTAGCTTTGCTTTTCCATATTTGTTAATTTTACCATCGCGTGCTTAACTTTTGGAATCCAGTTTATTTTATTTCGTTTTATGTATTTCGAAGTTCGAAAGCGAAGCTAGATATATTTTGAGGAAGAATGATACTGTCCTTTTTATTCAAGAAAAAGTATTCAGCGTATATTTAAGAAGAATTTTTTATACGAAACCAACGTCTGCCGGGAATCGAATCACGGACCTGTGGAATACGCACACAGTTTGCAGACCACCACACCACGAAGGCATGCCAAGAAATGCGGGGAGAAACACACCAACCTCTCGAGAGGAGGTGATAGGGGTAGAACCGTATATTTAGAGTGTCTCTGTGCCACAAAGACACTATACATTTACAAACATCCATGCCTTCTCTGGGATTCGAACCCGGGCCCTTCGGTATCTCAGTAAACTCCTCTATCCATTATACCACCTCGGCAGCAATGATTCGACTAATCACAGAAAATAAACATTTATCCGAATAAATCTAAATTCAGTTTTTAAAACTATCTAAAGCAAATAAATTGTATAATTTATTTATAAAGAACGTATTCATGTGAAATTAAAATAATTTTGTGCTTATTTGATTCCCAGAACCGTCTTTTACACTTTTAATACGTTTCTAAAACATTAAGACAAAGCTAAGTTAAATGATTTTATTAGTGAAAGCACTGGATAGCTAGTGGCTCAACGAGAGGGATCTTTCACGGTTTGGTTTATCTTATGATGGCAAAGCATGAGAGGAAGGGAGCCCAAAGGAAGGTATGAATTCGTAGAGGATTTTCTGAGGAAAACTGACTCGTACCCAAGCTACATGTGGAGGAAAATCATGAAAATATTCACGCAGCTAAAAAGAAAAAGCCCGTTCGTCTGGAATCGAACCTAAGTCGAACTATCGGTGCTCAGAGACTTTGCCTCTGAGCTCCTAGTAGGGATAATGAAAAAACCATTTTAAAAATAAAGTGCTAAATGATGTTTTTTATATTTTTAGTTATAAGTTTTCTAATTTTACATACAAAGGCACGAATTAAACATGTATAATGGATTTTAGTCTATATGCGCTTTAAAATGTTACTAATTTTTTCCACTACAAATTAAAATAGTCTGTTAACAGTTTCTGAAAGTATTTTATCAGCCCTTCTTAGTACTGTAACAAATCGGACTCAGAAATAGTATTTATTTATTTTTTTATTTATTTTATTTTTTTATTTTATTTTCAATATCCAGCTCTACATTTTCCCTTCAAGTTTTACATATTGTATAATTTTGAAACCTATGCCAAGTTACTTGAAATGTATAATAATTAATTTTTCCATCAGACGCAACACAATTCACACTGCCTTGTGGAAAAAAAAATTTCTCTTAATTCAATCCATACTTGCTGAGTTTTGTAGTGTTTAGCGTTTTAAAGCAGTTTCATGTGACTGATGATTTCATAACTGCAGCATTTAAATTCATTAATAAAATGCATGTAAAAAGTTAAGCACAGTTTTAACTTATTTTTTATAAATTACAAAACATTTTTTTAACTTTTTACGCTACTTTTAACGTCTCCTCTCTAATTTTCTTTATATTATGTGTAAACATGTCATATCAATGATTTGGGGGGGGCAGAGTGAAAGGTTACTGTTTTAAAAGAGATTTCAACTGCTGTAATTTTTTTTTCTCATTTGTTCGAATAACTTATTTTCTCTACATTCAGTATGTGGTCCCATCTCTTTTATTTCAGCGGATATTTGTCTTCGGTAAAATTTATTTTGTTTACTCAACAAATTGTGTCAAAGAGATGTCAACGTATCATATAAAACTACAAAGAGAAAAACAACCTTAGATTGGCATAATTTTTTTATAATACTCTCTCGATTTCCAGAGTGACTGATATAAGTATCTTTCCTTCAAAAAGCAGAAAAATTCTCGAAGCTTTGAGGGAAAACGTGAAAGTCATAAATTCTTACAATCTATAAAAGAAAATTTTAATAATATGTGTGATATAATTATTTTACATGTTTAAAGTTTTTAAGACATTAAAAATGATTGTCTTAATTTAATTTTAGTTGAATAAAAACAAGTTATGCGTTTTATTTTAGGCAAATAAAAATATTTTACTAGTTTAATTTCGTTATGGTCAAAGTTAAAGCAAGATTATGTGTTTAGTTTAAAAACTTTAAAGTAAAAATCATAATTGTTTTATTGTAATTGGTTTGATTTGGTTTATTTAATTACGGCAAAGCACACTAGGGCTATCTGCCTAAGGGGAGGGAAGCCTTCGTGGAGGACTTTTTAAGGGAAACTGGCTCGTACACACGTTACACATGGGGAAAACCACGAAAACGGCCATGCAGCCAGCCCGTTCGCGGGATTCAAACCTCGGACCGAACTACCAGTGTTTAGCAACTCTACCGCTCGGCCGCTGGTGGGCCTTATTGTAATTGAAATATGTTTTACTGCCCGGTCGATTTAGTGGTAAGTAACACCGAATGCCGTCCCGATGGTCCCAGATTCGAATCTCGGAGAAGTCATGGGCATCTGTAAGCATATAATATTTGTGCGGCAAGGGGCACTCAAAATAAACGGTGAGCCGAAATTCCTGTCGAGAGGTTGTGGTAGGAAAAAAGGCGCGGGAGACCCCCAGACTGCCCCTCAGTGTGTGTTGTGTAATTTGAAGGAAAAGGCTAGAGGGCGCTGTTGCTCGCATAGTTGAAAAAGCAAGTTTTGTGTGTGTGTATTTAATTATGGCAAAGCACACGAGGGCTATCTGCCTAAGGGGAGGGATGCCTTTCGTGGAGGACTTTCTAAGGGAAACTGGCTCGTATACACGTTACACATGGGGAAAACCACGAAAACGCCCATGCAGCCAGCCCGTTCGCGGGATTCGAACCTCGGATCGAACTACCAGTGTTCAGCGACTTTACCGCTCGGCCGCTGGTGGGCCCCATAGTTGAAAAAAGAATAAAGTTTGTTCATGTTGGAGGCGGCGGCCTAAGAATACGCTCTGTACATAGTAAATTAAATATTGTTTAAAATGTAAAAAGTGCTAAAATTAGTAAACTCACTGAACCACCATTATCTGATTTGGAAATGCAAAAATTATCAGTGTTCTTCCCAAAACTGGAGTGGAACTGATCAATTAGTGCGACGGGACTAAATCTGTTCGGCCAACTGTGAAATTTTGATATCTCGTTCGATTCTACACGTAACCTGTTTTATTTACCAGTATTTTTGTTGTGTTTTGATACTGAGAACGTGAAAACGAGATTAATGTGCTTAGCTTAAAAAACTTACTTAAGTAAAAAAAAAACAATTAGTTTAACTGAAATATGTTTAGTGAAATGAAATATGATTTCATTGTTTAATATTGTTGGAAATTTATTAATACTTTGCTTCAAGGAAATAAAAATATTAAAATATTTTAATTTCCTTAAAATACGAGAACTTTTCCTTAAAAGAAAATTCCTAATTTCTTAAAACAAAATAATTATAAAAGATACATTTTTTAAATATATAAGCTTTCTAACTGCATGATTTTTGTCGAACTAAAATACTCCAAACGAAAAATAAAAATTTATAAACAAGCAGTTGTTGCCAAAAATAATAATATAAATAAAAAAGGCCAACTATCCAATTTTTTTTAATAATATCCAGATGAGCTGTGATCACAGTTCGTTCTGATTTAAGAATTCTATTACGCTTCTGTATAACCATTCATAAATTACATTGCCTCACAGTAAGATCAATGAGTAATTTAAAATGAAAAATAAATTAATTTTCGTGTTGCCTCAAATTTAGGTCGTCTTCCGAATTCCAAAACATACGCAGTCGGGATATGAGTATTTCGTCGCGGATAACCGAGTTGTAGCTCACCGCGCCACACATTTTGTCGCCGTGGAAAGGACTTTTGTGCTTTGCTATTTTGTCGTCCGCAGTGCCAAATCTGAATTTAGACCTAGCAGAGGAAGATGCCATCGCTGGCCAAGGACAACTAACTCACTCGCTCTCTCTTCCTTCGCCTTCTTTTCGTACTGTACGTGTATCGGGAAAAGTGGGTCTTGTTCACTTTTTGCTACCAAACATCTCTTCTACAAACACATCGCAAGACCCATTCTCCGAAGTTCTCTCTGGATACAGCGCGGATTCAAGATTAAGAAAAAAGCGTGATGACTTTTTATGCACCTTCGCGCTTTCTTTTTTTCTTCTGCCTTACAGCCTGTTCTCCATTCTCTCCACCCCTTCCAGATGTTATCGACGGATGGAGACATTAGCCTTTCACCTTTACTGAATTTAACTGCTACTGGATTCCTTAACTGGAAGAGACACTAATGTATGTAAAAGAGGTTCAATAGTTTTCGTCGATTCGTGAATATACAACGTACGAGTACGTGAAATTTGTAACCATAAAACAAGAATTATTATTTTTGTGTGAAATGTGCAACTAAAGGTGAAGCAAGAAAAAGGAATGTGCTTTATAATATACTAGTTAACAATTTTACATGGTAACATGCGTTTTCTTTTCGATTATGGACGTTAAAAGATTCAACCAATATCTGCATATTTCTCGTACTCGAAAAGCATGCGTTTAGCAGTGCTTTCGATAGCTTCTTCTGCGACAGAGATATTGTTCAGATTGCGAAGCGCTTGATCCTCTTTTTTTCAAAGACATATGCGTAAAAACGGTTGTGGAATTGCGTGATTCATCTTACTAAAAATAACTTGCAAAAAAATTCTTATTCCAGACTACTATCAGGGATAGTACGTGTAATGATAGAAATTCATTTCAGTGTCGTGAGATGAAATTGCACTGGAAAATGTGATCTTCGCAGTCCAAAATATCATCAAATTTAAAAATATTCATTTCACTAAAAACAAAGTTTTTCCGGTTATAAAAAGGTTCATCGTTTTGGAAGTATTTCAGATGCAAAAATGAAACGCAAAACAAAAGAAGAGAAACTTTACCAAAAATGGCGATTAAAACCCAAGATTACATAAAGATTGCCAAAAGCAGGAGCTATATACAAAAGAACGGTTAGACACTATAGAATCATTAAGCGAATGTTATTATTTTAACAAAAGACTCTACATTACAAAAGAACGAACGTTCGTGTTCCTTTGACAAGCTGAGTACGAAGTGTTGTCTTTAATTCACCATCCTCAATCCCTTGCTTAGGATATATATCAAAGTGAAACATTTTTCGGGAACTTTGTCAGTACATTTCAGTTGCGAGGAAAATGGCGGTGAATTTTTTTCCGTCGTATTTCTGATTTCAGTTAGACGGACAGCGACCGAAGTAGGCATCTATTTTCCCTAAATTTCCTTCCTGAAGCCTGGAAGAGCCGGCCAATTGGTTTATTGGAGAACACTGAAAAGCGTCTTCTCCAGAGAACCAAAAAGCGGGAAGGAGACAAACAGAACGACGGAATCATCCAAAATTCAGCAGCCCCAGAGTGCCGGAGGAAGCGCAGAAGCAGAAGTCGAGTCATCATCGGACGCGATGACTGTCAGTTACCAGTACGACGTGGCTTCTTCCGCCTCTGGGGGCTTTATTCGATTGCTCTTTCGTTGGAGGGGCAGTGTCTGGAAAGTTGTGTACCGGGAGATGCTCATTTTCACGGTGTGCTACATTCTGCTCACAATTTTGTATCAGTTCGTCCTCGCAGATTCGCAGCAGAGGTGAGTACTTTTGTTGAATGCTGACAATGTGTTTTGTTGAATGGGGACTCGTACACCTTAAAACCCATAAGATCTTCGAATATGTGACTGTTTCAAGAATTCGGATAACTTATTTATTTTAAAAGCAATTACTTCCAACTTTTTACAGCTCACTAGATAATGTGACTGCTTTCTGAAAAAGTAATCAGAAAGTTTGTGTTACCGCAAATGTGTTTTGTAATTTAATCCTCTTTGCGACAAAATGTTTTTGTCATGTTTCCACCTTGCGAGCACAGATTAAAACATTATTTAATTCCATATTTAACATATAGATTTTATAGCATTTGGAAACTGCTGTGAACCAAAATTCCTAAGAATATCATGTTAAAATTTTATTTTATTTGGAGTTGAGTTTATAAAATGTATTTTATTAAGAAAATCTGTAATGTTTTCGTGCATAACATTTTTTAATATTAAAATATTCATCAGCTTTGTGATTCAGTTAGAAAATAGTGCCCATATAAAGAATTCTATCCAATTTCAAGTATTTACCATCAGCCATTTTTAAAATATTATGCGCGCAAGGTGGAAACATGACGAAAATTTTTTTCACAAAGCGGATTAAATTCCAAAAATATTTTTGGCAACACAAACTTTCCGGTTACTAGTTTCCAAAGCAGCTATATTATGTAGTCAGCTGTAAAAAGTTGGAAGTAATTGCTTTTAAAATAAATAAAATATTCCAGTTCTTGCAACAGTTACGTATTCGAAGATCATAAGGGGTTTAAGGTGTATGAGCCCCTTTAATGACGCGCAGAATATGATGAGGTAGATTTATCCTCCGACTTAACTCGATGGTAGGTTTTGTAGAAGGTGATGAAGATATTAATACGTTTAATTAATTACAGTTCCCCTTCAAAATTTTCCCCAGGTAAGGTGTAAGTTTACTTTAGTTACCCTATAATTTTTTATAACTCTTATTTATCAGTCAACTAAGAATAAAAAATATTGTGCGCTATTAAAAACAGTAATTTAAATAATTAATATTTCGAATTAATTGATGCGAAGATTTTATTAGAAGGACTTACCGCTGCATTTTGTTTTAAAATTTGCGTTTATCCTAAAACTAATTACTTATTCTAATTTATTTAATTCTGCTTACACAATTATAAATGGAATGCAATTCTCTGTGCAAGTTTCAGAACAATCCAAGAATTTTTATAATAAAAGCACAAATATTATTCAAAAGATAATTAATGCACTAAATTTCATCATTTAAATATTTCAATGGCATTGGCCGTTATCATTCAAATCGGATTTTCATTTGGTCTGCAAGGTGTGACGAAATGTTACAAAACGCCCTCTACATTTACTGAGGATTGACTATGGTGCGCATATTTCGTTACTTATTTCGTCACTTATTTCGTATGTTTTTAAAATTTGGTAAAAGAAATAGCCGCTTGAATATAAGAATTTATACACAAAAATAAAACTGTAAAAAGGAAAGAAGGTTTTTCAGCATTCGGATTAACGATAATCACATTCAATTTCATAAATTCTTTGAGTCGTTCAGTTTAATTTGTTTAACAGTTAAGCGTCACTTCTTTCGTATGTGCAAGATAGTGTGAGAGAATATTAAAAAATTTTCAAAAGCTACGTGAAGAAATCATATCAGTACTCAAAGATTGGAAAATAAAAACATGTATGTTGAAGACATTAATTTTCTTAAGATATCAAATTATAATTATTATTAATTCAACTATCGAGTAGTTTCTATTCCGATAAATTGCTTAGGATTGTTAGAGCCTTTTAAATATGATTTCAAGAAGAGCAGGGAGACTTTTGGCCCGACAGTATTTTTAGGTGGCCCCATGCTGCACAGTCACTATACACTTACAAAATCTCTGCCCTTTTCGAGTTTCGAAATCTGGTCCATCAGTGTTGTTAGCCTGGATGCGGATTAGAGCGACTTTCAACAGAGGCACATGAAATGATTTTTTTCTCCTGTATTCGACGGGATCATCTAAAAATTTATGTCCTCTAAATTAGATCTGGGTAGGAAGTAAGAGTATTGGAACTTAAAATTTACTAAAAAGCTTCGAATTTTCAAACAAAAAAGTAAAGAAAGTCGAGATGCGTAAGGACTGCTTGATAAGTTTATAAAAAATACTTTTGCATCACATAAAAAAAAAAAAAAAAAAATAGAACACGCGAAGAAATAATTTTAATATAATCAAAATACTGTTGGGAAAAATTAATAGTTGAGAATTATTAATGTCTTTATGAAATCATGAGCGCATTTTAACAATCCCTAAGTAGAATGCTGAAATAGCATTTTTGTTTCCTGTGTAAAAAGAAAGAACTGAAACACATCCTCTTTTTTAATTACTTTTTTTGCAATGAATTAATAAAATAAATATATTAATCAAGCATAAAGGTCGTTGACCAAATGGCGTCGAAAGAACGCCCGCGAGGTTTCATTTTGCTAAACTTAAATTGGATTTAAACTACTTTTACTTAATACAAATCACAAACCGTAAACATATAATAGTTATGGTTATAAGGTATTTCTCCTGCCTTCTTAACATGCCTTCGTGGTGTAATGATCAGCACACTCGGCGCGTATTCAGAGGTCTGAGTTTCAAGTCCCGGCGAAGGTGTTGTTAACTCTTCATTTCTCCCGCTTCGAAAAAACCTGATGACTCTACATCTACAGTGGTGCCCGAACTAAAAAAGGTGGTTGGATGATGATTCTTCACCACCAGGATTTGGCGACTGGATCTCCTAATCCCCAGTCGCCATTTAAAAGGGGGAGTATATAAGATATTTCTCCCGCCTTCTTAGAATGCCTTCGTGGTGTAAAGGTCAGAAGTTAAAATTCCTAATTGCTATGCATAGCATTAATTATGACTAACATTCAGATTTTTAATGAATTTTTTTTAAGTTTTTTTACTTGCTTTTTCAATAAAATTTGTTAATACAAAAATATGAAATATGAAAGTAAAAAATATTACTTATTGCATCTTGTGCTCCGAAATCATTACGCGAGAATTTGCTTATAAAATTTTTCAGTCAAAAATCGCATGTGTGTGATATTATTATCATGCAATGATTTGTAAACGCTTTATTTTTCATCATGCCATTTTATATCCCAATGTTTTAAAACTGCGATGTTTTGTTTTTGTTTCCTTTTTTTCTCCCACTATGATTTTGTAGGATAACATTTTCCATTTGCGTCATTTTTTCGGTCACTTCGTGAGCAATGTTTTTGCCGCAATGTTTTCACCTTTAATCTTCATAGTAATTGTGATTTTATTGTGAATACGCCAAAGCACACTAGGGCTATCTGCCTAAGGGGAGACATGCCTTCGTGGAGGACTTTCTAAGGCTCGTATACACGTTTACACATGGGGAAAACCACGAAAACGCCCATGCAGCCAGCCCGTTCGAACCTTCGAACCGAACTACCAGTGTTCAGCGATTTTACCGCTCGGTCGCTGGTAGGCCTAATCTTCATAGAGAACTTTTTAAGGACACCTGGCTCCTAACCAAGATACGTACGGTGATAACCATAAAAACGCCCATTCAACAGACTCATTCACCAGAATTTAAACCTTGGTCGAATTACCAGTATTCAGTGATCTTACCAATCGGCTACTCGTGAGCTTCCTATCTATAGTTTAATTATGCCTAATTTGCTAGGCTACCATCTATGATTAACAAATGTTTAGCGGCATAAGAATGAGAAATAACAAGTTGAGATTTCTTATACCCTCAGAAGGGTGCCATTATTTTCAATTAGTGGTTTTTGTCCGCTACAAATAAAAAGGAGACGTTACTACTGGTCGAGACCTAAGACCCTTCATTAATTTCGCATATTTATAAGAATGCGTTGATCCTCAGCGTAAATAGCTTGAAAGTAATTTAATTCTGCTTAATTTAATATTGTATTAGTATTTCATTTATTAGTTATATTTTCAAAAAAAAAAAAAATGTTGTTTTGCATCATTTGATAAATAAAACCCTTTTCTAGCGCGCTATTGTATGAAGATTAGAAAACCTCAATTCTAATTCTTATATGTATACTGCCATCTGCATCAAAGCTAAAATCAATTAATAATGAAGAACATTTTTCTTAATTATATTACCTCCTCCATGCTACTTTTCTAATTTTATTCAAAGACTAATGTACTTTTCAATACCTAGATTTTTCCAATTTCTACTATTTTACATTCCATAAAGAGATGTAGCATATTGCAGTAACAAATGGTAAAGGGAGAAATACAGGAAACATAAACAAAAGCATTAGCATACATATAAAGCCTGAGTAAAAACTTTAAGGCCAGTAAAAATTTTTGAGAAAATGGGACATTACAACTGAGAATAAAATCATGATGCTAATTTGACTTAATAAATGTTAATAGCAAAAATTAATTTGCAAAATTTGATTATTAGAAAATATTACAGAACACACTGATGAATATTGAGCTGAGTTAAAAACTTTAAGGCCAACATAAAATACATTAGAAAAATTACAAATTCTTAGAAGGTTGTAGGAGCCTTTTTATTCGAATACTTAGGTTATTCTTGTTTTCAGATGAAACGAGTTTTGACAAAGAGTGGAGTCGGTTTTTACCATTCTTTCCATGTAGATTTCAGCTCTGTGTTGATGTAAATGTCTCCCATTTGCAAAACTCTTCTGCTAGTCACCCAAAGGTCTCGATTGGGTTTGGGTCAGGGATCTAGCTGGTTGTCACAGTTTCAACATGTTGACTTGGAACCAATTTTTTGTGCGTTACTCGAATGGATCGATGCCTTGTCTTGCTGGATATTTCCAATTTCTCCAGCAAGACATTCAGCATTTAGCAAAGATGACTTGTTGGACATTTTGGTATCCTTGTGAATTCATTCTACCTGAAAATGCAGTTGAGCAAAACAGCCCCTCCACCTATGACACCTCATGACAGACCCTCGACCTAATTGGCGCTTGGAGAATATTTCTTTTTCATTTCTTATATCAT